TACTCATCTTAATGCAGCACTGAGCATAGTACCTGGCAAATCACAGATGCTCAGAAATTATTTGCTGAATTTAATTTCAGGTCCTTGGTAAATCCTGCAAACCAATTCCAGGTAAGGAGAAGAAGATGGTCTCCCATCTTCCATCCTCACTTCCTATCATAAACCCTCCCCTTCTCTGCTGGAGCTCTGAGTCCCTCCAGGCCTCATCATCCCATTATAGCTACCTCCAGGACTCCCTCCATTCCTCCCCCACCCTCCTTCATCTCTATCAATACCTTTGGTGTTGGGTATACGTGAGCTGGGAGCAAGAGGCTTCAGTGGTCAGTCATTTTGGTGGCCCATGTGTTTACATTGTCACCCTAACTTCCATTTTGACCATCAGTTACTTTCTCTCAACCTTTCTCTCTTCCTCACGGTACCCACCTTTGCCCTGTTTCTTCCTGGACCTTTCATCTTGGTTATCTCCCTTTCCCTGCCTTATACTGTGCTCAGCCCTGTTGCTCAGTCGTCTCTCTCTAGGTGCCAACCTCATACCACACCCTCCTCTTACCCTCTATAGGCCTTCCTTCACGGGCATGCTTTTCTCCCATGGGTCTTTTCTCGGCTCCTAGGAGGAGAGTGTTGGGCTTATCAATGTCTACGGGTTCCTGAATTTTCCATTCTCTTTCTTCCCTGTAGTCATGCTCCTGGGAGTGACCCTCTTGAAGAAGAAGTACCCAATGGCCAAGTACCTGTGTGTGTTGCTCATTGTGGCTGGAGTGGCCCTTTTCATGTACAAACCTAAGAAAGTAGTTGGGATGGAAGAACACACAATTGGCTATGGAGAGCTGCTCCTGGTATGTGTTCCTGGTGGGAAAGGCAGCCTTTTTCAGTCACCTTAACCAAGGAAAAACCCCACCGAGGCAGACAAAAAGGCCACTTGTATGTCTTGGGAGAGGTTGTGGTGTTCCTTGCCCCCATTTTTGGTCTTTGTCTCTTGCTCCATGACCCCTGGCTCTGCTAAGGCCATGGTAGGAAGCCTGAACTATTTAACTGCAGCTCAGCTCTCCTGGGAAAGGGATGACACTGAGGCTTATGTCTAAATGCTCGTGTGACATCACAGAGATCTGAGAGCAAAGAGTGAAGGAGTAGTATGTCTCTCACTGTGGCTTTTTGAGAAACCAGACGTCAGAGTTAAAAATCTATAATAATAAAAGCGTAATATGC